TTGAAAATACTTTAAATTTCGAAAAACTGGCGTTCATGGGAGTCGTTAGTACATAAGGATCTAATCAGGGGAGACTCATTTGGGCTCCTGAGCTGTCAGCAGCGGAGGTGGCACCAGCAATTCATGCGTCGTATGAATCACAAAAAATGAGGAAATTCAGATTTTCACAAATCTCCCCTGATAGATTGGAAGACGCTGATTCCAAAAATCTAAATCAAATTTCAATTGAAGAAGTTTGAGCCGAGTATAGCGACCCGGCACTTTCGACGCGACATTGCGTCTTTTATAGCAAATTGTCGAAGGCAATGACGGTACTGTAGGTAATGATGCTCTTTTGCATAATGACAAAGTTCTGGTTCTACTAATTGTGTAAACCGCACTTAAGTACATTTTTTGTTTGAGTAAAATATATACTTATTCTAATCTAAAATAAGAAAAATAACTATCTTTAAAAGTAAGAAGAATGTCAAATTACAAATTAACGATGGCTGCAGTAAGATTTTTAAAAATATGAAGGGCTTTTGATAGAAAGCTTGACGCATGTAAAGCTTTTCATCAATCGAATGTTTGATGAGAAGACTAACAAAACTAAAACAAAGCGTTATCTTAACTTAAATATCTGTCCTAATACTTGTAGGACATGCCACCCTTCCAGCCTTATTATTGAATGGTCCAATTTCACAAAAGGAAGAGAAACAAATGATGCACAACTGAACGAGTGCTGGTGAGAGGTTACGTAGTCGAAACTTCATGCATCAAAAAAGAATTTTAAGTAAAAACTCCTATATGCAACCCAAGTTGACATAAGCATAAGCAGGATGATTTACGTAAATAGTTATGATAGATAAAATAACGAAAATGCATTCTAGAATCTAGAAGGAAGACCAGAAGAAAGCTCACTGAAAATTTTAAAAAATACAGATAAATGTACAGTGATAAAGCTTGTAATAAAGCTAATCTACCAAAGCAGACAAAAACAAGCAGGGAATAAAAGCAGAACTAGCACTTCAAAAGAGGAATTTTATATAAAAAGGTTAGCTCAGATTACCTATGCCGCGAGGATTATAAGATAAAATCCAGTATCTCAAATATGTAAAAAACTGGGCTAGCTTCAAATATTCCAAGAAAACCTTTTGATAAATTAAAAAAAGAAACCAAGTAAAACAACTTACTTTGGTCAATTAGATGCGCCGCGTTATGTCCCTTGGCCACGCTTAGGGAAACATGAAGAACCGAAATAGGCTTAAGTTATACAAAAATGTTAATTTAAAAGACTAGATGTCATGAACTTTCGCAAAATCTAAAGAAAAAGAACAAAAATATGAGTAATTCCATTAATTACGATATACTAATAAGGTGATTTTTGATATTCAAAATAGCCGTTCGATGTGCCGCTGATACGATGCCCATATTTTTTAAGTCGTGATCGTTCAGAGTGAAGAAAGACTAAAAAAACAATTAACACAAGAACATTATTTAGGTCAAAGAAAAAAGGAAATTGGAAGAGCTCACTTCTGCATCAATTTCTTCCTTCTGAAGCACCTCCACATATTGCATCAAGCCGTGTTTTCTCAGTTCACCCCAGATCAGTTCTAAATTTGTCTTCGCAAAATCGACACGTACTAAATAAGGAGATAAGAGACCTTACCCTCCACAGTGCGCCTTCGCTCCGACTGGCTCAATGCCATGCGAACATGCGGTGTACCCAGCATTGTCGGGACTTGCACAAGAAGAGGTGTAGATGACGTCCTTAGAAATGCACAAGATAAGAGAAAATTTGAAAATTAAGGTTCTTAACATCCAATGCTAAAATACACGGGACTTGGAATAACGTACTTTCTCAACTGCTCGTAACCACTTCTTGTCACAGATTCATCCATAACCATGGATTCTCGCGACTTTTTCAGCATCCTTGGAGTCGTGCGCATTTGGTTTTGAGATGGGGACTCCAAGAATGATAAGGTGCGTGGTTTGCGACTGCCTTAATACGTTTATCGGAGTTGTTTAAGAAAATGCAGCCAAACTAGAGGTGACGAGATCTGGTCCCCAAGCGGATTTTTGTGTAAATAGCGTCTTAGCAAACAACTAGACCACTCTGAATGAGAAAATTGAAAAATAATACAGGAGATGAAAATTTGCAATTCTCGTTAATTGGAAGTCCAATAAA